TTTCCTGACAAAAAGTGATTAATCTCAAAATATTTTGTCAGAAAATCTTCAAAATATTTGGGGTGGTACTGAAACTAAAGACGGTCCTGACACCGAGACACAGATTTTAATCTGTGCACCGAGATATAATCATCAAGGTCTGAATAAAGATCAATTAGAGTTCTAATTCTGATTGTTTACTATTCTGTGCCAGAGCAATTATCTTAAAAGTTAAAAAAAGAAGAAGTTAGAGGTTAGGTATGTGAAGATAAAAAATAGAATAATGTAAATGTAATGTATGTAGGTTTTGTGTATGTTTAGGAGACTGTTATTTGCCATCGTTTTTTGAAAAATAAATGTTGATTTCTTGATCAAAGAATCAATTTACAGTATAAATTTATCAGAACAGATTATTTAATTTCTCGAATGTCTTAATATCATATATAATTTGAGTAGTTCAAATCATATATCAATAAAATGTCTTCCGATTCGGAATCTGACAACGAATCCAATCGAAGTGTAACTCCCAGCAGAGGCCCAGCTCCTACCCCCGGACATGGTTTAGATAGATCAACATCAAACTCCCCAGATTACGGCAAATCAAGGGAAACGAGTCGCGAGAGGTCGCTAAGCAGATTTCGAAACAGGTCAAAATCTAGAAGTCCAGCTTCAAATCGTTCTGGCTCACGTAAATCTCCGAGTCCTGCGAATTCTCAAAGGTCCGATTCCGCGGTATCCAGAAGATCAGATTCTGCAGCTTCTAATAAATCTGGGTCAGCAGTATCAGAAGCGGGTTCTCATCATTCTGTAAGGTCCCCTTCAGCTATATCTCACAGATCAGATTCAGCTGGGTCCAACAGGTCCAGATCAGGTAGTCCAAATTCTAAGCGTTCTGGGTCAGCTGCTTCTAAGAGATCTGCTTCTCCTGCATCAAAGAGGTCTGATTCCGCTGCATCAAAAAGGTCAGGATCACATGTTTCACGAAGATCTGGTTCACATGTTTCAAGAAAATCTGGCTCGCATGTTTCAAGATCGGGATCACATGTTTCAAAGAGATCTGATTCAGAAACATCAAAAAGATCAGAATCAGCTGCATCAAGAAGGTCAGGATCTGCTGCATCTAAGAGATCAGATTCTGCTGAATCTAAGAGATCTGGATCTGCTGAATCTAAGAGATCAGGTTCTGCTGCATCTAAAAGATCCGGCTCAGCTGTTTCTAGAAGGTCAGGTTCAGCTGAATCAAGAAGATCAGCATCTGCAGCTTCTAGACGATCAGGTTCTATAGCCTCAAGGTCAGTTTCCGTAACAAAAAAAGCAGCTTCAAATAGATCACGATCAGGCTCAAGAAGATCTAGGTCAGGCTCACAAAGGTCTAGGTCAGGCTCGGCAGCATCAAATAGATCCGGATCAGCAGCATCTAAGAGATCTGGGTCAGCAGCATCTAAGAGATCTGGGTCAGCAGCATCTAAGAGATCTGGGTCGGCAGCCTCAAAAAGGTCCGGATCAGCAACATCGAAGAGATCCAGATCAGGAGAATCTAGAAGATCTGGCTCTGCATTGTCGAATCGAGCAGGCTCACATAGATCTAGATCAGGTTCAAGAAAGTCAAGATCAAGATCAGGTTCAGTAGCCTCCAAAGGATCCAGGTCAGGTTCAAGAAGATCTAGGTCTGGTTCTGCTGCATCGAAAAGGTCGGGCAGTGCAGGATCTAACAGATCAAAATCAAGGTGAGAATTTCAGTTTTACTAACTTGGTTGAGATACTTTTACTTAAAAAAAACTAAATCTAAATCCAAACCTGACAATTAAAGACACATTTAAATATAAGTCTTTTGAAAATGCACGAAAGATTTTTAATTTATTAGTGTTTATATATATAGTGTTTAATTTCAGTATTGTTCAATTGTATTGTATAAACTTGATAATCTTTTTTTATTGAATGAATAATAATAGTAAAATGTCATTTTTAGATGAAAATTGTGAGCTTCTGTTTTTAGGTCTAGATCTCGTTCTAAATCAAGATCTAAGTCTAAGGATCGTAGTGGATCCAATAGTCCCAACTTGCAAATCGACGAAGATCATGAAAAGGGTGACAAACGAAAAAGAGATAGCTCTGAGGAAAGAGAAGCTAAAAAGAAAAGTCGAATTATTGATTCTGATAGTGAAGAAGAATTAGGTGGAGACAAAGAAAAAGGTAATAAACACTGTTACACAATTTAAAGTGTTCTGTCTATGGTTTACATTTCAGTGGATGCTGCTGATATTTTTGGAGATGCTGATGACATCAGTAGTGAGGAAGAGAAAGACAAGGCTGAATCAGAAAAGGACGAAGGAAGAAGATCTCGATCAGATGATGGAAGACGGTCTAGATCGGAAGATGAAGCTGAACAAAGACCTACAATCCAAGATGTACGTTTATAAGTTCATGAAAATAATTAAAATTATATGTAACATTTTCACAGGATGAAGAAAAGGAAAACGAACCTGAACCTATTCCAGAGACAAGAATAGATGTAGAAGTACCTAAAATAAGTTGTGATTTAGGAAGAGATATAAATTTTGTGAAGCTACCAAATTTTCTTTCTGTTGAAACTAGACCATTCGATCCTGAAACTTATGAAGATGAAATCGATGAAGAAGAAACTCTTGACGAGGAAGGTAGAGCAAGGTATGATTTGCATCAATACACACTTGTGGTGTTGAGGAAAAAATAAAAATTTTCCTACTCATACTTTCTCACATTCTCCTGATACACTAAGATGTAATTTGTCTTTTGAATTATCTCCTCCCTCCTAATGTAGTTTTCTGAGTCCATTTGGCTTCCTCTTCCTTGTTACAAGTTGTTTTTGGTAAACTATTTTTTTCCAATAGTTTCCTGACAAAAGTGATAAGCATAACTTTCAACTCTTTTATAATATTCTCATTTCATTTTTGATGTTTTAAATTAGAAATCGGTTCATTCCTACGTTCAACACTACTGACAAATGTTTTGTTTTGTTTAAGAGTATCTCCAACAATGCTATAAATAGTTGAAGTATCAAACCTATTTTTGGGTAAAATAGTTCCTCCAAAATGAATAACTGCTGAATAATTGTAAAAAATCTTGAACACCTCAGATAACTGGCAATGCATTGAATTTATTGGAGCCTCTGGAGACACCCTACATTTTGTTTTATAAGAGAGAGGACATTGTTAGATCAAGATCTTCAGAAGTCGCACCGGAGCGTTAATTAATTTTTTATTGTTGTTTTTATTTTATTTTTATAAAACTGGACAGTGATAAGTGAAATAGTTGATATAGTCTCACCGGAACAAAAGTTGATGGTAGAATGTCTAATTTTTGAATAAAAAAAAACAAATAGACAATTACAAATAACAATGTCATGAACATAAAACATATACAAATGAAAAAACTACAGATATATCATTAAACTATTTCTGCTAGATCCAATGGCACTTTCCAATTAAAAAATATTTGTCAGTTTCGTTAAAACAGGTTTGCAGCTATCTCGATATTCCTTATCCGATATTTTTACAATCCGTTTTTGAAATATGTATCGCTGCCCCAACACGTATTTACTGGTTCCTAGCTGCAACTATCAAAATTGAATTACTAAATCATTCCATTTAGTCGAAAAAACACAGCACTGGTTTTCTAAAAATGGCCCTATTCTTAAAACTGACAAAACCAAGGTAATTCTATTTAGAACCCGTCAACAAAGAATTGAGTCACCAACAACTGTTCAATTAGCAAATAATCAAATGAAAGTACAAACCTCAACAAAATTTGTAGGTATACACATTAATGAGCATCTTCACTGGCATACCCACATTATAAATTTAGGAAAAAATTGAATCAAGTCTGCTACAGTGTAGGAGTGTAGGGATTATTAGTACTTTCTTAACAAAAAATCATTAAAAATCATATATGCAGCAAATTTTGAGTCTTCACCAAAATTTGGTATATTATTCCGGGGATCTTGCAGCGGCATCTAAAATATATTTGGAATTTAAAAAAGGATGATAAGAACTATGTTCAAATTGAAGTACCGCCAATCTTGTCGGGCAAATAAGATATGTTCTTGGAAGGGATCAAATCATACTTACCCTTTGCGGAATGCAAATATATGTTTCCCTATTCATAGACTAACACTAACAGAAAAGCATCCGTCATATGCATCAATCAATAAATTACTACAAAATATCAAATCCTGTGAGAGCCTTGAAAAATTTTAAAAATATGTGAAAGATTTCCTTATAGACTTTTATTATATTATTGGCAGTTGCTTTTTTCGTCTGCCTTACATGTTGAATATCTCCAAAGTACTTTTCTATCTTACTAATTGTACTTTGGGATACAGTAACAAATTTGAAAATTTCTCTAGAAATGAGCAAACAGCTTCCATTTGTGTTTATATGTTGCCTCTAATTGATCATCTGTGGAATTATAATGGCCACTTTAGTGTTATAACAAAATGAGCATTACTATATAAGAACACCCTGTACTATCCAATGACTATATTGAATTTATGGTTGCCTACTGACAGTTGAAGATTGTATAAAGTTCTACAGGCAAAACATTCTAGGCACTCCAAAAGAAGTGTTAAATGCTGGGGGATATAAAAAAAAGTTTCTCAAAGTTTGAACAATTGGAAGTATATGTTTCCCCCAAATTTTGCGATTTTTTCTTTGTGAACACTAGTTTTCATGTTTATTTGTGTGGATATGTTATAAAAAGATTTGTGACATTTGTTGAAAAAGTATTTCTTGAGAAGGATTCACATTCGCTGCTTGTTCCTACATAATCGCAAGTCAAAATTTTCATAAAAGTTTTCCTTGTCACTCAAAACCTAACATTGCACTTTTCAATCAAAATTGAGAAGCATGCTGAATTTCATATATGATTGAAGACCCTCATCAAAAGAGGTAGTTTTAACCTAACTAGATGTTATGCAATAGGTAGCAATTTCTTTTTTTAAGCATTCTATAGTCTTAGTATTTGTGGATTTCTGAACTGTTTTTGTGATTCAGTAAAATTATAGACTATAATTATAATATTGAAGAAGAAAGTAATACAAATCATAAAATTATGAAACAGCAAAAATCAATTGGGGCTCCGGGGCGACTTGATTGATTCAAGTGGCGCATTAGCTCTTTCAGCTGCAGAAAAATCCGGAAAAACCTGTAGCACCACATCATCTAAAGATATTGATCTGCAAATTTCCTCTTTTTCGTAAAACAAAATGTGGTGTGTCTCCAGAGGCTCCAATAAACTCAAGACATCGCCACTTAGTGACACGATTATCGTCAAACTTAAACCAGTCCGTTTCGTCTTTGACTAATGTTGAAATTACTATCAAACTTTTAGCGAATTAATCAATATTCAATAAAAATGACACATTTTGCTGCTTGAAAGCTGAAATTCATTGATTTTTACTCTGTTCATAAGTAGTGATAACTCTACTATACTGAAGACTTTGACTGTACTTGCAACAGTATCTTGTTGTTTGACAATGTCAAGGTGACACTTTAGTCTTTATATTTGGAAGTGAATTGATATCAAAGGATTCGTTGAAGGAAAGAAAATGTTGATGTCCAGTCTTCAGAAAATAGCCTGATTTTAAATTCGCTGATGTTTTCAGGGAGTATGTAACTCTACTCAAACTAGGCAGTTTGAGTAGAGCCTAGATGATGACAGCACGACCAGCTGTCGAAAGCGCTCGCATATAATTAAATAGGTGAAAACAGTAACGAACGACAAAGTGCAGGTAATGAACATTTTTTATTTCAATTGTCAACCTACTAAATGTTCATTTTAGTTTTGGTTGATAGGAATTTTGAACCTGGAGGAGTATCTCTAGTCAATCCTGCAAAAGTTTTCAAAAAGACACATGTTGAGTTAATGGAACTGGATGAACAGTTAACCAAGGCAAGTAGTTAGGTATAATCACAAGTGGTGACAAAATAACAGTATTTTTTTGTGTTACTGATCCCTCATTGATCTTTTTTTCGCGCAGGCAGATACTTTTACAAAAGCAAATGCAACGAACAAATTGGAAATCATAGGTAGGCAGGTAAAAAAAATTATATTTTGCTTAGCGTTTAAAGAGTAAAATATCAAATGTCACACTTTTGTAGATGAAGAATTTGCATGAATTAATGAATGAAGTGATAACTGAAACTAGGATGAATCAAGAATTGAATCACGTAGCATGTAATTTTGTGAAAAAACCTGGACACACATATCACCTATATCAAAGATCTTCTGGACAGAAATATTTTAGTATGCTCTCCCCTGAGGTAAGAATCCAATATTATGTCAAAATATTTTACATCTGGCATGAGTCTATTAACAAGCATTGCAAGTTGCAGAAAAATCATGGCGCTGTTTATATATTTTCGTTATTAACTTTCAACACAAAATGTATTAATATGTCACTATTTCTCAACATATTATGACGTCACACACTACTACTACAATGTTGGATCTGAGAAAAGCATTTGTTTGTATAAATCATCATATACTCATTGAAAATCTCCAATTCTTTGGTATCTGGGGGAACGGTTTTCTGTAGATGTTTTTCAGAAAATAATAATATTGTCCAACAGTAAATTTATTTTTGAAAATATCAGAAAATTTTATCTGTTATCTCTTTATTCATTGAAATTTTGATAACCTTTACATCTCTTAACCTCTATGTTGCATTATTTTGATGGTATATTAAAATAAGTTATACATAACAAAATAATAAATATATCAACTACATTAATACAGTTAATTGCGTAACAAACGTGTAATAGTTGAAGTGTAAATGGTTTTATCATCAATTCACTATTGTTTCAACGTATCTGCTTCCTCTTGCATTACAGGTTTCCGTTCTAGAAGAAAAGTCCCAAATACATTTCTAATTATATTCAAAATTATAGTTGTTTACAAATGTTCTACGTTTGTGAATGGCCTGTGTTGATATACCTTCTCTTTTAAGTAATCTTAGAAGAACAAATCTAATGGGGTTAAATCAGGCGACCTACCTGGCCATAAAATATCGGAATATCTATGAATTAACCTTCCATTACAGAAGTTTTCAAGATATTGCCTTACTTCCATTGTAGTATTATATGGTGCGCCCTTCTGCTGGTACCATACCTGTTGCTTTCATGTCTTGGAATATCATGAAGATATGCAACTGGTTTTGTAAAAAATTTAGATATAATTGACAAGTCATAGATTGTCGAAAATGGGGCCATTTATTTTATCCTTGTAAATGTCGCACCAAACTTTAGTTTTTGAATAATATTGGATCGCGAGTTTCAATCCTAAAGTGAGGATTGGAGTCAGTCTTCCATCGACAATTTTGCAAAGATACTGTTCCGTTAGACTTGAATGTGGCTTCATCAGAGAAAAATATTTTTGTAGCCAAAAATGTGACCAACTTTATCTTGGAGGGAAGGTGCCCTTTTTCGCAGAGACAATTTAGGTTTTAACTCTGCAGATAAAAGTACATTCAACTTCATCTTCTTACTTGCAACAAGTTTTCAAAGTTTATTTGTGAATTTATTATCAGTATCTCCACATGATTTGAATTTTCACATAATTCTCATCACTGATGTATGGTGTATATTTTTCTCTGGATGTGTGTCAAATGTTTCAGCTGTTTCATGGTAAGTTTTATAATTATCACGGACGATTGAGACAATTTCTACTTTTTCTTCTACACTAAATATCACCGGCATGTCAACAACTTCTATTTGTCGTTCACTGTCAAACAATTAGCAAAAAATAATTTGTTTATCAGTGCATCCTAGATTTTAGGTTATTGTATATTCAATATACCTATAAAAAAATTAAATTGATAAAAATTCTGTGACTGAGAAACAAATGTTAATTACAGAGATCAATGGTAATTAAATAATTATTTGAATTCTGATCAGTCAATGAAGTCTACATCGATAATTAGATCATAATAACAATAACTCAAATAATGTGGAGATCAGAATTTCAACTAGAGAAAGAAAGCAAAAACTTTTTACTTAGTATTTAAATTTTGACTCCTGAAGAAAATATTAATTTCTCACTAAATTTTTAGCCATAATTCAATTGGTTTGGTTTGTCATGTATTATGATCATCGTTAGTATTTATTTCACTGAAATTCATTGAATGGTTGTCGTTTTTTCTAACAGAATTATTGAAACAAATTTTTATCGGAAAATTGATTTGAATGATTTTTAGGAATGGATAAATGCTCCCCACAATTTTCTAGGAAGTTATCGTCTAGAGGCCGATCACAGCTGGACTGCTGCAGGACATGAAGATGCAAGGCAAGAAGGACTGAATTTTCTCAAAGAAATCATGATGAATCCACGAATGAAATATCTTATGGACACAAATTGATAAAAAATTGAAATTAAAGAGTAACAACTTTATTGTTTTATAAAAATTATTTTTTACAACAAATGCACTTCAATAAAAACAATTTGAACACATGGTACAGAAATGACGAAACTTGCACCAATTTTGTTTCAATTTCTACCATTTTCATCCAATTCCACTATTTCGACTAGGTCTACTCTTATGGTACTATGTTATATTCGTCCGATGTGCTGTTGATAAATATGATTGATTAATTTTGAATGTCTCCGTTAATCAAATACTTACAAGTTTTTGGTAATCTGAGAGCTTCACTATCTGTAATGGTAACTTCATGGGGCTGGTCATGGTAGTTATAAATAATGTGCAACATTTTTTCATCTCCTAAAGATGGGTCAAAAAAGCCGGGTAATTCACTCTAAAATAAATAATTTGTCAGCTATTGATGAGTCTTAATCATACCCTCAACCATCACCTTAGTGTGATCGTGTATCACTAATTTGCTGTCTTTGACTAGACATTGCACTGGTATGGTAACGTCAACCACCTCATTGGTCATTTCTTCGTCACCATGCTGATGAGAATCTACAATTAGAAGAATCATTGAATACAAAACCTTCATTCAACAATAACTATATGGTGTGTATTTGCCAATTGGAATAAATTCTATAATGATAAATGGATAATGTAAAAAAATACAAGAATGTAAATGTAGAAAATTTTCAAAATGGTTGCCATAAAAGTGTTTGCAAAATCTCAAGCGTGACCGATCTAATCACAGGTGATATTCATTTTTTTAAGCCAAGGGATATAATTATGTATACAGTTTTTTGGACGATTCCCATGAGGAGTCTACTGATATCAGATCAGGGGATCCTGCTGACCATTACATCAATTCTTGCTTCCCTATCCTCTCGTAACGAATTGAAAATATGAAACCTGCCGTACCTCGGATTATTTTACCATAAATAGCCTTGATGATGACCAACCCTTTCTTATTACTTTCCTCATCCCTGATCCTAGTGTAAGTGGCGTTCATTAACTCCTGAGCTGCCATAGCTTCCTTTCTTTTCTCCAATAACTTATTATAATTATTTTGCTTTTGCTTCTCCACCTTCTTGGATTTCTCCTCCCTCAAAAAAGGTTCGACGAATCCCTTCTTTACAACAACGTACACTACCAAAGGCACTACAGTTGCATAAAAGATAGGTGCTGGCATGATTTCTTCGCACAAGTGAATCGGGAAAGAGTAAATTTGAGAAGCTCTTGTTAACCTGAACAAGAAAAAAAGTTGGGTCGAAATAGTTATTCGTATATTGAGAGGAAAATAACACAGGATCACATACTCGTGACAAATATTCAGTTTTATTTTTACACAATCAATACATAATTGAAGAAGTTCATTGATCTCAATATTGGAGGATTCATGAAATCTGGCAGTAGTAGAATTTTACAGAAATTGTAGTACACATTTCAAAACATTTTTATATCATTCAAAAGGGATAGAAGGATCAGTAAAGCACTTTCAGTGAATTTTTTCTTGACAGTTCATTTGATCAAGTCAACCGAACTCAATCAATACAAAAACTCAAACATATGGGAATTTGTGGCAATCTCCTATACTAGATACAAAGTTATCTCTCTAATCAGATACAGATAAATAGAGTTGATGGGTTTAGAGCTTTTGGAAGTTTTGTAACATCCGATATGCCCCAAGGATTCCATTTGAGACCACTGCTGCACAACGTTTTTATGGACAACATTTCGTACTGCTTTTTTAATGCAGAATGCCTAAGATGTGTGTTTTGTCAATGGTATGGAAATCAACACACGAAACGTATCTGCAAATATTCCTTTAACGTTTTCTTATTTCCTAAATCAAGTCCCACTCAATAATGTTACGGAATTGACAGACTTCGGTTTACTTCTAGACAGCTTAGACTTCACCGATATCAAATGCTTAAAACTTATGTATGGCTCTCTGGTAGGAACTCATCTTGAATATGGATCCTCCATATGGAACCCATCATATGCAAACCACATCCATAAGTTACAACCAGTTCTGGGGAAGTTCCTAAGATTGTCTACATTTAAATCCAGAATTACCCCCCGTGAACTACACATATCCTCAACTAGATTCTCTCAACGAACTCCAAACACTACAAAACAGAAGGGATGATAAAACTTGATGATATTCTTCAATATTATTAATGGAATTGTTCACTTTCCCCCATTGCTATCCAACCTCTCCTAGATCCACTAGAAATCCAGATACATTTTCTTAACCACACTGCAAAACTAATTAATACCTTCATTCTTTTGTACCAGGGACCACAGAAGTGACATATAAAACGGACTTTTATTTCCCTACTTCTGCATGCGAGTTTCGGAGGCAGCTGAATCGGAGTGGTTTCTGTGAACGTTTTCTTGACGGAACAATCAATACAGTGATATAATTCAATGTGTAATTGATGACTTGTTTGCTTTGTGGTAATTCATGATCACTTTAATGAAATGAATAAAAACACTTTTGTCTAATTACCACTTGTTAATTTTATTTTATCAAGTTTTATACTTGATATATATTGAAACTTTGACTACTTTTATATTGTTTTCTATACATGTTTTCTTTTTTGTATTTTTGTATAATGCCTTTTATTCATTCAATCAATTGTATTGATTAAAATTGGTTATGAACCCATAAATAAATAAATAAAACGAGTCCAACTCACCTTATTTTCAGTTTCACTCCAGATGGTATTCCACAAACTACGGCAAAGGCTAAATTACTGTGTTTCGAAATTTTCTTTTCTGCTCCATACTCGATCACCCCACCAAAAGTGCCAGCTCTATAAATTATTAAATAATGACAAAAGCAAATATGTTCTTTGAAATTGTTCATGTACATGTTTAATAAACTTGGTGTTTGAGTGAATATGTCTACAGATAAAATTAAAAATCAATAATACATCATTGGTTCTTACTTCACGGCAACTTTCAACTTCAATTCTTGATTCATCATCTTTCTTGTGTACTGAAGAAGCACAGAGGAATGGGGAACACCTACTTGTATCGAAAAATTGAACCTATTGAATTCTAAAAATGAAATAGAAAATAAGTTTACTTGTAGATTATTGAAATTGCTTTCCTACCTGTGTCTCTTATAATTTGTGTTGAAAAGACGGATCTAATACCTCCTTGATAAGATACATAACCTACCGAATGTTTGTCGATTTGCATAGCCAGTGCTGAAAATCAAATTCTGTGTATTAAATGTACTTCCAAAAATGTCTCACTTACTTGACATTATGCCCGGCCTTATTCCATCAGGTGTGAATTGCAAAATCGTACCACCATTCCAAAAGAACCTTTTGGTCAATGTCCTGAATCCTTTGAACGATATAGCAGGACCACTTCCTTAAAATGAGTTGAATAAGGAGTGATCAAGTGAAAATTTTGAATATACCTGCTGTCAATTCCAATTCTGCCCAACTTTTATGTGAGAATATATGACGCCAGCTCAGATTCACACCACCCTGTCCCGTACCGTTTTGAGTCTGTAGCTGACCTGATAAGGTACAGGTATCCTTCTGCGTTAAGGGAAAATCCACGGCCTGAGTAAATTGCATAGATGAAACTTCAATGTTCGGGATGCTGGATATGAAATCTCTGTAAGATAAAAAAGGCAATTCAAAATGTTTGAAAATTGATATGATTCTGCAAATGTTATGTTGTAATGTAAATGTTATACTGTAATCATTTTTTTAAATTTTTGAAAATGTACCAAGAAGTTTAAATACTATTAGATTTTCATAATGAAACAAGCAGGAATAATAAATTACAACCCTCTCACCGAGGTGTGAGGGTTATAGTTCTATAACCATCATTATTGATGCTTTCAAAACAGAAAAAACAAGATAACTGAATTACAGAACTATGTATAACCTTACTTTTCATATTCATCCTCGAACAAATCATCATATGGGTTAAAAAGATCTGTAGCATTAACAGCTATGGTAATATTTCCTGATGGGTTTGTTGCTTGCTTTTTTTTTCTTTCGGCCCTTTCCTCAGCTAACTTTTCATACTCTGCCCTTATTTCCGCAGGAGTTTTTGTTCTTTGTACTATCTCCCAGCCTTCAGTTTCAAGTCCTTTAGTTCCCAAAGAATCATAAATAGCTCTTTGGTGGGGATCCGATAGAACTGCAGATATTGTTTCAGTTAAATGTTTTTCTCTTTTAGGAAAAGTTAATACTTATCGTTGATTACCTTCATAAGCCCTTTTGGTTTTGTTGAACATAATTTCTGCTTTTTCCTTAAGGGTTGGATCCACGTGTTTATCGGGATGATACATTCTACTAAGTCGTCTGTAAGCATTGTTGATTTCTTCCTTTGTGGCCTAAAATAATGGGTTTCTTCCTCCATCACATGCTCAAAGGTTATGAAATATTATTGGTAAAGAAATGTGAATGAGACGATTTTTGTATAAATGATAATGAATTTACCTCTTTTGGAATATTCAGAAATGAATAAAAGTCTTCTTCAATAATGTTTTCCTCATCAGAATCTATTTCCATTTTGAGAACCTGCAAAATTTAATGTCAAAAATAATTCTCCAGATGTGTAATAAAGAGCCTAGAGCTACGTTACAGGAATTTTCGCAAAAGAGTTAAGTAATATTCCAAATATTGATTCCTGAATAAATATCCCACAAATTTCTACATTGGTATTAATTAGAAAAAATTTTGGTGAAGTGCGATAGGTTTGGTGGTTATGCACAGTTAAAGTTAATAGTAATTGATGGCTCTACCTACAGATGTCAGGACACAGAAAATATATACTAAGGACACAGTATTTTGTATACAGAAATACTGTGCAAAGGAATTTAGACAAAGACAGAACAGATGGCAGGAACCTTTTGAATTTTTCAACTTCACATCCAAGTCTGTTCGGAACGGAACTACTCAACTACTCATTCATGGTTATTACTGTCAAAATTTCTTTTAAGACTGGATTCTCACAGCTCCGTCATGAATCCGTCATCGGACAAAAATCAACGATTCATGTAGCACGACATTAATCTTCTCTGGTCTATGAAACAGTATATTGTATATATTTGAAACATGTTTTTTGAAACGCTTTCCGCGTAAACCTTAAGGATAAGTTTATTTATATTAGAAAAAAGTATAAATTATTGAACAAATTGAGTTTGAAAGTAATCAGAATGACTTATACGGCAATTGGAGATTTGTAGATGCGTCGCAATAGTGCTCCAGAAACTATTTCAGATGAAGAATGGATTGCAACTTTGCAGAATTATAATCGTGAAAACCGAAAACTTAGGCCACGTATTATTGATTATGAGAATGTATTCCATCGTTATTCAGATGAAGAATTCAAAAGTAATTTCAGATACATGATTTTCAATCACACATTACACTGTAAATTTTGAAAATGTCATGTCTAATTACACACTTAGATTACACTGTGAATTTATGCTACTCTTAAATTTACTTCATTATGTGTAAGTTATTATTCCATTGATTACTTATGAGATTGAATAATGGAATACGTTAAGAAATTAGAAATGAATTACGAATGACAGAAAACATTTATGTCATATTTCAAAAATTTATAACTGCGCATGATCGAACTATACAGAATTGTGAACCAAAACAAACCTATTGGGGACTTTTGAACGGGCAAAATATCAAGGCCGGACAAAATTTACGTAAAAAGATATTTTTTTTGATAATTTTTGATAAGTGTTTCGCAAATGATAACTTGTTTGATAGGTGTGATGTGTACCTGCTATATCAATTCTCTATCCAACAATTTGTTTTTGGAAATCGGATGAACCGTGAGTAATTAGCAATTTTATATTAGGTTTAAGGATAATTCTGTTTAAAAAAAATCATAATTTCGAAAAAAAATGTACTATTCAAATCTCAATCAAGTTCATTGATTTATAAAAATCTGAATCGCAGATTATTATAAACTCATACTTACTGGCTTCATGTTCAGTAAAGTAATGGTTGTTTTATATATTTTTTCAGGTTCAAAGTTTTGAAATATCACTATATCCGGTGTTCGACTGAACGTATTTATTTTTGTAGTGGTTCTTCGCCTTCTTGTCGGCTTATTTAGCTGTTCCAACCGCTCCTCTGTTGGGAGCTGAAGTTCATAAATGAGCCTTGAAGGCGAAATCTGAAAAAGTTTTTTGGGTAAAATGTTTTTCGGAGAAAAAATTCAAAATTCTTACCTTCATTTCTTCATTCTCACAAATATCTAGAAAAAATGGTAGTAACTCCATTATTTTGCATTTATGAGTAGGACAAGTCCATTTTGCAGTCATATTTCTTTTGGGTATACAAAAAATGATATTTTTGTGAATTAGAAACGTCAGTTTACTTCAATTGACATTTACTGTTTTTTCAAACTTTCTCCTTTATAAAGCTACCTACTAGACCTAATAGTTTTGGTTGTGATTTGCTTTTCATCATTAATGATTTGTTAAACTATTTCGAATTTCCTTATCTAGTTCAGTACAAAACATAATATAACAATGAAAAGTAACTTTGACAAATGCAATTCAAATTTTCAGTTTCAACTTTCAGGAANGTTTCGGCTTCGACTTTGACATTTTCAGGAAGTAGAAAAGTGTGGCTGCACTGAGAGATACACTTCATATATTTTTGTTGGTTTGGAAATGAAGATTCATATTCCTTATTTTTTAATGGGAATACTTACTTCGAATAAGACATTGCGATAATTTTAATCTGAAAAAAGTCTACGGGGATTCTTCACTGGATGAATCAGTTTCATTAGGATTGATGACAACTGGAATAATTTTTTCTGATGAGTCTATGCGATCATCCAGATCGAAGAACCGACATTCCTTTAGTCTTCGCCATTTCATCGGTGACATACCTGACGAATTTTGACTTATGACGTTTAGCCAAGTTGAGGAGCTTCGCTTTTAACATAGGCGATTCGAAAGGAATAGCTTTCATTTGTAACCACTCAGTAATATCTGCTTTCTTCCAACACGACCTCGCCAGCTTCTCGACTCGTCTACTGTGGTAACTTGTGTTATCCATTACTATTACGGATCTCTGCGGAAGTTTTACAAGTATGTTTTTAAACCATTCTTCGAATACTGTGGCATCCATTTCTTGATGATAATCCCCATTTTTCTTCGATTCAAACACCATCCATCCAACTTTTACGAATCCTTCACTGCTGCCTATGTGAGTGTAATAAGACGACGACCTTTTCCAACTGGAATTTTTATACTGATCTTGCCAAACGGTATGACCCTCATTGACCCATGTTTCATCCAAATAAAAAATAGATTTACCTAGTGCTCTGGCTTTCCTTATTTCTTTTAAATAGTTTCTTCTCCATTCTACATTATCTGATTTTTCTATCAACATGCTCTTTCTAGGTATCTTGCTTTCCAAAAGTGAAATTCAGCTTATGTAATATCTTCCATAATCGAATTCTTATATCAGGAAAAAAACTGTCTTCACGAATACCTGACAAAACTTTATTTAATGTAGGTTTCTCTTTTTTTATGTAAAAAGAGTGTACTATTCTCCTAATAAAATTCTTCACTTCTTCATCGATAACCAAACACTTTCTATCAGTGGATACTTTCGACTCGAAAAACTTGTGGTTTTCCTTGAGTTCCTTGAGAATTCTAAAAATTGTCGATCTACCGGTCGATTGATAGGTCATATTCGCGCATTTTTGCACCACTTCCTCCTTACTTTTTATTTCGGGCGGATTGTATTCTTAAAGAATTATATACATTCATAACAATTGTTTTTTCATTTATATTTAATGGTGACAATTTCGGACGCTTCACGATTCCTGGACAACTATTTTCCATGTTGTATAGCTGTTTATTCAACGCGCACTCGAAGTAAACTGAAGAATGTCACGAATAACCCCGGTCTCATTGATGGGTGCGATGTGTCTGTTGACATTATAATTCAAAGGAAAATGTCTTGGTTACTATTGGACATATCTTAACATTTGTCATAGTAGATTTGTTATTTTGTTTGTTATCAATGATATTTTTCAAGAATAAATATTGTATTTTTGTCGTATAAATTCATTTATTCAATTCGTTGAGAGTAAATAATTTGAATGCAGTACGCCTATGGCACTAATATATATATATATAAAAAAGTTAGGGCAATTTGAAATAAATAATGACAGCGTACGCAGCGCCCTCTAGATGTTAAATGAAAATTGATACGAAATTATGATTTCCCACGTAAAAAAACCCCGGTTACCGATTTTCGTGCAAATAACTTATTTTTTGCAAGAGTTATTTTCAAAAAGCGAACAAAAAAATTCAATTTGAACACCCCATATCTCCGAAACGAAGCATTTTCAGACACAAGTTCATATAGACTTTTTTTTTAATTGTCTCAGAAATACGTCACTTGAATATTTTAACGTACTTATGTTACACCCTGTATAATTAATGTTATTTCGTCTTGGCTCATATATCACATAATCTCCTTGAAGTTTGAGAAATCTACGTTCTTATTCATTTCAAAGAACACAATATGATTCAGTCGGAAGAATTTTTAGGAATGTATATTGATAAAAGTAGGATAAACACATTTAACTATTTCTTAGTCCCTTAAAATTAGTTAAACTATCATCACTGGACTTATTTTCAGTAAAATATTTTTCAAACTCGAGAAGGGATGTCAACTATTCCCATGGTAAAAGCAAACCTTGGTACATTGTCAAATTCGAATTAGAGGGTAAATAGAGCCAAAATCATTGACTGGGCTATTATGAAATCATTGAAATAGTTTACATTGTTTTTGTGCCGATTTCTCACATAAATTGGCAACGTTACTAACATTTGAAATGTTACGAGTACCCCAAACACCGAAACAGAACAAGAGATGAGAATGTTTTAACGCAGCAGAAAAAGTAGCCATGGCCGGGTTGAAAGACTCAGGACCCGAAAAAGGTAACACCCTATAAAAAAATTCCATCATTTTTTAGGTCATTTCGTGGGAATTTAAATCATATGAATATATACCAACTTTGAACTTGATAGCGTCAGGAATATAGAATGAAATTTAATAAAATATTGAGAGTTCGACACCTTGTTGTACAGGGTGTCCTTGGACTTCCTTTTTTCCTCTCGATAATATAGAGTCAAAATATCACCTCAGGTTGGTTGTCGTCGAACAAAAGTGAATTTTCATCAAAAATCGTTGCTCCGATCGTCTAAGTAACCTGATTTTGTTGCAAAATATTGAAAAATATCTGTTATTTCAAAGTTTTGGGGTCTGGACCATCGAAGGTAGTCCGTTCCTCACTTTGTAGCCAAACAACTGACTCCTGTATGAAAGCTCATGAAAGCAATTCATTTGTTTAGTCCATCACCAAAATTTGCTTGGTTTTGAATATTACTTGAAATTCACTTGTAACTTTGAGGGCCCCTAACTTGATAACAAAGGATTTTAGGAACAAAAGTTATATGAAGTACTGGTGATATTTTGACCCCATCTATACATTCCCGAGAGGAAAAGAGGAATTCCAGCGACCCCCGGTATAATTAATAAAGCTTTTTAGAATAAGAATTCATCGGAGTGTTCTTCTCAGAATTCAGAGGGGTATTCTTCTCAAAATATTTCTTAGAATCACTCTCTTAACTATTTACATTTATGAACACCATCTATATCTCATGAAGTAGGAAAAACCATACCACCGGCAGAATAGTAAATACGCTAGACTTGAATATAAACGGATCTTCCGTCAATTCACTTTCGTCCTCGAGGTGCTTATCGAGAATATTCGAGTGTCCTTCAGCATCGATAATGTTCATGTACTCAAGCCTCGCGTATTTTTTCTTCTCCATCTCAGTCATATCCTCCATGGCTTGAAGCAGCTTCGACTTCTCGAGCATATCCACGGCTTCGCTTTTGTAAGATTTCCATCGGAAATCCAGAGAAAACTCGCTCTTGTTATACACGGTTACCGTTTTGTGGGTCTCTAGGCCCATGTAAACTTCCCCGAAAAACACCGTGTTAGAGTCCAAGTGAATATCGGCTTCGACGATCTCGCACTCCACGGGAATCCTCAGTGTGATGTCGTCGTACGTGAAAACGAACTCGCTTTCCACGGGAGTGGAAGGTTCGACAGGAGTACAGATTACTTTTAGCTCGCTGGTTTGATTCGGCATTATGGCACCTCGCAGGGGAATCACTCTGATGGGTTGTTTGTAAGAGACTATGTAGTTTGCTTGAACTTTACCGAAGTTGTACAGTGCCATACTGTTCCGGGAGGGTACTCGAACCGCCGTGGCTTTCAAAGTTAAGTGGTCCGGTATGTTTAGTAATGGGCGATATCCTATTGCTGAAAAAATGTCAGTGTATTAGTCTTGAAGAAAATTAGACTTGAAAAGTATATATTGAAAACTAAGAAAGTATTGATCAAAGAATGTAAACTTTCACTGCCGGAGATATCTGTGTGAAACCTATTTTCCGGTTCTTTGGCCGTGGTCTGCAGGTTATACCTGACGTTTTCTACTACTGCGGTAGACATTATCTGAGGCAATGTGGTAACGGTCGCAGTGCCTGAGTTGGTGCTCGAGTTGTTTCCAACGCAGAAACTGCGTTGTTTTTGCTTGAAGGAAATTTAATATCTTCACTTCAAAGTGGAGTACTATAATGTACTAATGGAATACTATATTAATAATGATAATAATAATAGGCAGAGGGCAGACATTTTAGCCGGACAAATGCAGAAGGATGTCATTCTGGGCTCACTACGCTTACTCAGGGCACACGATTCTCGGACCCAATGATCACTTACCACACGGTGTAGGGATAATGCTTATAATGCTGGCACGCCTTCCTGAATGTATTGGAGCTTCGGGAGATAGAGCCTGACCTGCGCAAACTGGGGTTGAAAAATGATAATAATATTCAACGTCTTCATTATTTCCACTTATAAGATACTATTATAATATTTTTTTAATATAAGTCAATATCAATGAAAATGATATTGACATAGTTAAAGAAGGATGTAATCCTCGCGAAATGAATTTAGCTCTTGCGCCGCCACTGATACGATGTGGCGATTTTTGGCCAATTTTTCTCTACAAATTCATATTGAACCAAAACGCTGCCGAAATAGCCAAAAAAAACTAACCAGGCTTTTGGCAATTATAGTGTTAATGAACACAGTGTTCGACGTTGGTTTGCAAAATTTCTTTCCGGAGTTTTAGGCTCGAAAATGAATCCCAAAGTAGTCGAACTGCAGTACCTATTCCAGGACGAGGATTTAAGGACCGTAGTGGAGACTTACCCATCACAAACGGTGCATGGGATGGCGGCAGAACTAGGCGTCAGCTCCTATGCGGTTTTTGATGGTTTGAAATGTATTTGATGCTTATGATGAAAATAATGGAAACACACGTTAAAAGGTAAGACTTCGTTAGTCCTTAGTTCGCACAAGTTTGTCAAGTTCTGAGAGTTGTCGTTCGTATGGGAGCGACAGCTGATTAACGGAAAAACAGATTTTAAACAGATTTTTAAACATATTCTGAATTAAGTATACGTGCGGTATATCTCATAGAAGTGAGTGAAGTAGTTGTTGTTCATGTATTTCATCAGTTCGGACTTCCATTGTCTAATATAATATAAATGGATTTGAAATCTCTGAAAAAAATAAAAATAAATAGATTACCGAAAATAACAATTTTATTGAAACAAAAAACTGAAATTACAAGGAAATAACAAACAAGCTTCAACCGGAAAATAAAAAATTGAAATATTATCGCTCATCGCTAACATATTATCGATCATCGCTAACACCGCACCACAGTAAGCCACCTCACTTGTATGGACTACCACCCAATATCCACAAAAAGGATGTTCCGCTCAGACCGATCATTAGCTCCAGAGATTCACCCACTCAGAACTTGTCCAGATTTTTACTACCAATAATTAAACCATTGCAAGGTGAAAAATCATCTTTTGTGGAAAATTCAAGACATTTCGTTGAACTACTAGGGGAAATCGAAGTCAAAGAGCAGGATCAACTGATCAGTTCGACGTGGAAAGCCTCTACACCAACGTTCCGGTCGAAGAAGCACTTCAAATCATACAGAAGAAGCTATCCGAAGATGGGAACCTGAAAGATAGAACAATCTTACCGATACAAGTAATCATGGAATTACTTGGATGATGTGTACGAAACTGCTACTTCCAACTGAAGGACGAATTTTTTACGCAAGATGACGGACTGCCAATGGGATAGCCACTTTCACCGATTATAGCTAATATATATGGAGTAGTTTGGAACTCTGGCCATTGAAGAAGTCCACAAGAAGCCCCGAGTCTGGTTGAGATACGTAGACGACA